TTCCTCTTAAGCCTTCCCTGCCTTGCATCTGACCCTACCCACTCCCTTCTCTTTCTGCCAATCCTCGCTTTCCTTGGCTTGAACTAGGACTTGAAGTTGACCACAGAGAAGGAAGTGATGGGGAGGGTTCCTTTGGTGTCTGTGGTTCCTCGGTTGTACGGTATTAACCCAGGTGAGTCACGGAAGCCTCGCTTACTAGAATACTGCTTCCACACTGTGTCCACACTGTGCTGAGCTGTAGCAGGACTTCAAAAGCACCGTCGCCTCCGCCACCGGCCCAGCTGCCAAGGGCTTTTCCGCAAAAGCACAATTTACCTTGGTTTTGACCGGCTTGACAGAAGATATGTTTTGTTTGTTTTGTTTTATTTTTTACTTGATGGCAAAGAGGATCAGAGCTATCATCTGGTGACTTGGCTGGGCATGGGAAGGCTAACGCCAGCAGTCTAGGACAGAGCAAAAGGGGTCACGGTTTCGAACTAGACTCTCCTAGCACTAGAGGAGCAGAGATTAGGCAGATGAACCCAGCTGCTGGTGATGGGGTAGGGGTGATGTCTGGTCCTGCATTGTCTGCTATGGTGACCACGAAGAGCTATTTAAATTTAAGTGCAACAAAATGAAATATTTAGTTCCTTAGTTGCACTAGCTACCTTGCAAGTGCTCAATAGTCACATGTGGTTAGTGGCTGTCATATTAGCACACATATAGAATGTATCGCTGTAGGGGCACCTGGGTGGCTCAGTCGGTTAAACGTCTGCCTTTGACTCAGGTCGTGGTCCTCAGAGAGCTGGGATAGAGCCCTGAGTGAAGCTCCCTGCTCAGCGGGGCGCCTGCTTCTCCTCTCTGCGGCTCCTCCTACTTGTGCTTTCTCTCAAATAAATAAATAAAATCTAAAAAAAAAAAAAAAGAATGTTTCATTGTAGAAAGTTCTATTGGACAGCACTGATTTTAAAGCACTGGATAGAAAAAAATCAACAGTAAGCAGCTGGCTAAAAGAGTAAGAGAAAGACAAACCCCTCAGGAATGTCCAGAAAGAGGGGTTACCCTGGGGATGTAGACAGGAAGGCAGCAGAGTGGGCAAGCTCTATAAAAATGCCCATTTCTACTCTCTGTATGCATCTGCAATCGGAACGTTAGGGCTATATCACATCAGAGCCACACGTGTTTTCCCAAAGCAGGATGCATATCCTCTAGGGACAAAACAGGTCCTCAGAAAGGAAACCCGTGCTAGGGCTGGCATCAGGGAAGTGGGGAACGCTCTTTTTTCTCGCCAGATGTCGATCTTTTGAGCCTAGACAGAGGATTGGATAGTAGACATTTGGAATGGAGATCTAGGGATTCAATGTTGAGGAGGAAGTCAGAAATATGATCTGGAGCAGGGGGAAAGGATTGGCTAAAAATACGAATTTGGGACTCAGTTGTAGTCACCGAGTCCTTTTGTCATTGCCATTTCTGTATCTAAAACTTTAGATTTGTTAACTCTCCATTTATTTCTGTACTATTCAGTGATGAGTATTGCCTTGCTAGTCATTTGCTTGAAGATGAGTCCTTTAAAGAATGAATAAAGTGAGTGTCTATTCAAAAACAATGCTTATGCATTGGAAAGAGAGCAAATGAAGCAGAGGAAAGATCTGGGACCTGGAAAATCATCAGTCTAATCTGAGTCACTCCTTAAATTGTAAATTCCAGGGGGTAGATTCAGGCATGGCTGGATCCAGGTAGTCAAAAATCAAATAGACATCAGAAATTGATGTCTCTCATGGGGCGCCTGGGTGGCTCAGTCAGTTAAGCAGCTGCCTTCAGCTCAGGTCGTGATCCCAGGGTCCTGGGATCAAGTCCCATGTTGGGCTCCCCGCTCAGTGGGGAGTCTGCTTCTCCCTCTCCCGCTGCCTGCCTCTCTGCCTACTTGTGCTTTCTCTGTCAAATAAATAAATAAAATCTTAAAAAAAAAAAGAGAGAAATTGATGTCTCTCCATCTCTTGGCTCTGCTTCTCCTTGCATTGTTGTCATCCTCAGGCTTTCCCCGTGTGGTGTCAAGGTGGGCCCACAGCAAGCAGGTCCAGGCATAATACTGATGGTTCCCAATAATCTCAGCAAGAGGTCCTGGACTGACCTCCATTGGCCTGACTTGGGTTACTGCCTATTCTTGAGCCAGTAACAGGCCTCTGGGAATTGTGGTGCTCTGATTAGCCAGGCCTGATTAGGCACCAAACCTGAGGAAAGGGATGGGGTCAGTTTTGCCTAGACCACCAGGCCTCTGAGTGCAGGCAGTTTGCAAAGTAACCCAAACAAGCCAAGTGGAGGCTGGTAGAAACCACAGCGGCTGCCCACTACGCAGTCTGTAATTAATGCTAGCTGTCATTATTGTGGAATGACACCAGAAAGATGAAGCCGACATTTATCAAACCCTAGAAAGGGTAGGGAAGGCTTTGTGGTACATAGTAAGGTCTCAGTAAATGCCTATGGAGGGGAAACTTTACGAGAGAGCCGGTGAGAACATATACTGAAGTGTAATCTTGTTCTATGAAGAAAGGAGTCTGACGGAATGAAGGCACAATTTTATTGAGTTTAGGAAAAGAGCCAGGAAACAAAGGATAGGAATAAATGGCACATTTGTGAAAGGAGTCCCTTAGAGACAGGGCTCAGGGCTGTTTAATTCGCACGTGAAACTACTCCGGAGCCGGGGAGTGCATGAGCAACTCTCCAAGGTTTGCGGACGACGCGGAGTACCTGGAGTAGTGATGGCAAGGACTGTGGGGAGTTCTTGTGGACCTGAGAAGGTGGGTGAAGAAGTGGGAGCTGAGCTTTAAATGAGGACAAGGCAAAGAGGTGACTCTAGGGACCAAACTCCAAATACTGCCCAGGAAACTGAGGAAGTCAAGCTACCGTGATGACCAAGAAGAGGACCAGGCATTTAGCGTAGACTGTTTCTTGGGAACTTCAGCTCGAGATGGTTCTAGACAGAAATGCAAGGGAAAACACTGGGACTTCTGCATAACGGTCTGAGGACAGAAAGGCTCCTCAAAGAGTGATACCTTGGCAAACAGGATACATGTGCAGTTCTGGCCTGTTCACGCTGAGCACGGAGGAGGGCTGAGAAATGGCAATTAACATTTTTGAAGGGCTGGTTATAGACCTCAGATAACAGGACTTCTAGGTCCAAAAGGCAAAGATGAAGAAAGAGCAATCACTATTTTGAAATACATAGCACTGTGAGCAGACAAAATGCAAACTATGCAAACTGGCTCATCAAAAGTTGAAATTCTCAGGTTGAAACTTGAGCGACGTGAAATTTAATTAAAGGAAGGCCTGAGCCTCTGTTTCTGCTCTGTGTGGTAGAGAAAAGAGTGCTTGAACCACTCTAGTGATGAGGACTGAATGAGATCCAGTAGGTGACAGCACCGGATACAGAGGAGATGGAGGTAACCCTAAAGCCATGTGGTAGCTCCATGGGATTCTCGATGATGCAGTGCTGTCGGTAGCAGGTTAGCATGTGGGATCTGCAGTCAGGAGATAGGAGTGTGAGCTCAGGCTGTAGTCTAGCGTTCATCTTCCCCGTCTCTAAAAGGCAAGAGCAATTCCTACCCCATAGGGCCATAGGACAATGAAATGAGATCCTGAGGGGCGCCTGGGCGGCTCAGTTGGTTAAGTGACTGCCTTCGGCTCAGGTCATGATCCTGGAGTCCCGGGATCGAGTCCCGCATCGGGCTCCCTGCTCAGCGGGGAGTCTGCTTCTCCCTCTGACCCTCCCCCCCTCATGCTCTCTCTCTCAAATAAATAAATAAAATCTTAAAAAAAAAAAAAGAAATGAGATCCTGAATTCATTCAGCAAGTGGGGTTTTGTTTGTTTGTTTGTTTTGGTTTTTTGAGCACCTACTACTTACCAGACAGCAATCTAAGTGCTAGGTGGGAACACAATGATGAATAAGAAAAAGCCCTGTCCTTCCAGAGATTGGTGTCTAGCAGGAGACAATGATAGCGAATAATCACAAACTGAATGATGCTCCCTGTGGAGGGGTGGTTTTGAAAACTGTAATGCACCAAACTGATAGGATTGCATAGTGCCTTTGTATTCATTTCCTATCACTGCTGAAATAAATTATCACAAACTTTGTGGCTTGAAACAATACAAATATATTATTGTACAACTCAGGAAGTCAGAGATTGAGATGGGTTTTTATAAGCTAAGTTCAAAGGCTGCATTCCTTCTGGAATATCTAGGAGATTATCTGGTCCTTACCTTTTCCAGCTTCTAGCAGCTGCGTGCATTCCTTGGCCCCTGGACCCATCACTTTGACTTCTGCTGCCAATGTCACATCACTCTCTCTGACTCTGACCCTCCTGCCTCCCTTTTATAAGGACCCTTGGGATTAGATTGGGCCCAGATCATCCAGGATCATCTCCCCACCTCAAACTCCTTGATTTAATCATATCTGCAAAGGGGCTCTGGATGTGGACATCTTTGTACGACTATAGTACTTCTGGGCTATCCAGTAGGAAATGAGCTGTCCTTAGAAACCAGTAAGCTGACTGGGCTACCTCTGAACAGCAACTTGCTGATGGTATTCTATTAAGTGGAGT